GGGGGGGGGGGGGGGGGGGGGGGGTTATGTACATTTTTGGGTACCAACATTATATCGTGGTCTGCGAAACGACATCCTAGTTCATCAACAGAAGCGGAGTACCGAACCATGTCGTTTGCAGCTGAAAAGTTGAAGTGGATTACATGTCTTCTGGGTGAAATGGGTTTGTCTCAACCGATCACACCGGAGCTATATTATGACAACCTCTCGGCTTGTTACCTTACTGCAAATCCTGCTCAACACAACCGCACAAAACACTTTGATACAGATTTCCACTATGTTTGGGAACGTGTTGCCTTGGGAGCACTGATCATGAAGAAGATTACGGCTTCAGCTCAAATAGTCGATGTGTTCACCAAACCTCTATCTCAGCAACCGTTCTTTGATTTGCGTTCAAATTTTGTGTTGAATTGCCTTCCCACGCAAGTTTGAGGGGGAGTTAAAGGTAACTGAGCCCATAGCTGCTAATGAGGCTTTGACAATTCAGGCCCATACGAGTCACAGCCCAAGTCTCAAACCTTTGTCTTGTTCTGCCTCTCTCCTCAACGGTAACAAGATGAAGTCTACAGCTGGTCAATGTACGATAAAGATGAGAAATCAAATCCAGCTGCATAACCGATTTGGACTCCTTGGATCTAGTGCTGTGACGTGTCACTGATCACTGTGTGTGTGGTCAGCATTTAGGGCTTTCACCTTTACCTATATAAGTGTTCCTCTGTTCTTTGTAATTGTTAAATTGAAAACATAAATAAAGTTTCTCCTTCATAAGTTTATTTCAAACTGATTACAAAAATGATTTTAGAGATGATGACGACATGGAAAAAAACTTTGGATATATATACTTAATCATACGATAGGTATTGCTTAAATGCTAGGGTTTTAGTTTTTTGTTTAGTGGTTGTGCTGATAATTATACAAGGAAAATCAGAAGTTTGGATCCACTTTTTAATGCCAACAAATTAGTTGGATCTCTAATTAAGTCTGCCCATTAATTGACACCATCATTATTCACCACCCTCAAAAAATACTTTCAGTACAAATTTGAAAGAACGAAAAAAGTTCTCTAGTTTTTCTGTTATTTTTTCATAAGTTTTACTGTAGTTGGAATTAAAGTGGATTTATCCGATGGCTGCCAGAAACAAAGGTTATTCCATATTTCAATGTATATATATGTACAGGGAAGTGCCAGAGGGAAGTGTACGGTGGCACGTAAAGCTGTCAGATGGGCTAGCTCACATTCATTTGTCTATATTCGTTTGTCTATTTATTGTTTGTGGACAAAGAATAACCATTCTATTAAGGATTGAGTCTATTAAGAACCAATCCTATTAACTCATGCTAATACGAACTGCCATGGAGTTCATACAGGATCATATAAGTAAACATGTTACAATTTAAATTTGCTATAAGGTCGTTTAAATATTCAAGCATCAAGATAATGTGATTTTGGTTGAAAAACTTATTATGTGGTTTTAGAAGAAAATAATATTTAGCGGAAACTTTAGTTTAACGGTTTGGCGGAAAATTTATTTTGTGGTTTTGACTAAACACTCCACTTACCGTGATAACTTAATTTTAGCGATTTCAGCGAGAAACTCGATTTTAGCAATTTCAATGGAAAAACTTGAATTCGTGATTTGGCGAGAAAAATATCGGTTTTTACGGTAATTTTATGATTTTTTCGAAAACTTCATTTTGTGGTTTTGGGTAAATAACTCGATTTTCAATTTTTGAGGGAAAAAAATCAATGTTTGTAATTTTCTCCAAATTTTGATTTGGCGACGAATCTTGATTTTGCGATTTTGGCAGAAAATCTCGATTTTGTGATTTTGACGGAAAATCTCGATTTTACGATTTTGGCAAAAAATCTCGATTTTACGGTTTTGGTGGAAAATTTTATTTTTTATTTTAATAAAAAAATCTCTATTTTGTAATTTTGGCAAAAAAAATTCTCAGTTTATGATTTTGACGAGAAATTTCGAGCTTTTGGCGAGAATTTTAAATATTTTAAATTTGATGAAAACTTGATTTTGAAATAAATCAAATAATAAAATTTCGTTTTTCTGTGACTAATAGATGGACCATGTTCAAATCTATTAACTCCCATGTCTAACAGTCTAATGATTTTTATCCATTTATAATTCATATAAATAAATAGATATTTTAAAATAGACATATTTATATATGGATATGGACAATCAATGATCAACCAACTCATTCGACAGCTATACTGACACCCTCGAGTAAACTAATGTATAGCGTCCAAACGCTGCCCAGACGAACGTCTAGAGCACTGTTATAAAATGTATGATTTGCTATCAACTCCAAAAATAAGTATAATGAAATTATATCATGTGCTCCCAACTGATAAAAGTTCCTACGTCTGCTTCCAACTAATTAAGTTCGCCCTGTATATGTAGTTTAGTTGTGACTTGTGAGATATCTTTATTGAAAACGTGTAAACTGAATATTACTTGTGCTTCATTGAGCTATTTAAATAATTCGGGTTTAATCTGAAACTAGGTAATAATCCGCGTTTTGCGTGGAATGTGATTATTAGTTTGATGTTTTCTAGTAAAAAGATATTAAATCTGTGTAATCTGAATATATGTTCGGTTTTAGGTTGTTTTTTTGTTTTATTTTTAATATCCTAAAATATAATTATCATTTTAAATCAATATATATTTTGGTTTGTTTTCGGTTAATTTTTGTAATGGTTCTGTTTTTTTCGGTGATAACCAAAAATTACTATTATCTGTTTATTTTCATGTTATGAATTTTAGATACTCGTGATGTGGAACTAATGGTTTCATACTATATTTTCTAAACGGATAATAGTTAAAGAAAAAAAAAATTATTAAGGCAAATCATTTCACTACAATTTGGTCTATAGTAAAAGAAGTATTAAGAAAAATAATATTTCAACTTCAAAAAAAATTAGATACTTCAGTTGTGGTGAATACTCAATTATAAAGTGATCACATCAAGGTGCACATGTATATGTATGTAAAAGTACATAAAAATGGTTGATAAATATATAAAGATACTGTTAATTAATACTAAATAAAATTTTTGTTCAAAATAACACATACAAGATAAAATTTTCAGAATAAAATTAATTAAAAATAAAATAGATTTAGACATTAGTGATTTTTTTAATATAAAAAAAATGAAATTGTATCCGTAAACATGGGTGGATAAAGATCGAATATCCGAGTATTTGGAGGCATCCGTGTCAATTCGATCTTTAGCTACATGGATATTCTGTGATTCAGAAATACAATTTTTTAGAATTTTAAAAGAATATCCAAGTTGATCCGTAAATTAAATAAAAATTGAAAAATAATTAGAAAATCTAATAATAACATTTTATTACAAAAATAAACATTATTTGATTTTTTAAATTCGAATACCTAATATAATAAATTTAATACATAAAAATATTCTAAAACTTGTATAAACTATAATATATATAACATATATATATATATAACTCCTTACATATATGTATATATATGCATATAATGGAATAAATTGGATATCCGTTCATAAAAATATTGGTATTTGTGATTTACTTTTTTCGGGTATTGTATTATAGTATTTGATTTGCTTCCTAAAGTTACGGATATCCAATTTTTTTGGTTCAAATCAAAATAGATAACAAATTGAATCTAAATTTATGAATATTTTTCCAAGCTTTATCCATATAAAATAAAAATAATATATATATATATAATTTAGTTTTCGATTCATAAACTCTTTTGAGTCGAACTGAAAATCCAAAGTTTAATGGGCTATCCATGTGAATTTTAAATTAAATATATATATATATATATATATATATATATATATATATATATATATATATATATATATATGAACATATTTATTCTCAAATCTTTGTAAGGCTGTCATGTGTCTATTATAATGTGAATGCATTTTTTAGAATACTTCTCATTTAATATATAAGAGAAAGATTGAAAAGTTAAAAATATTACAAACAAAAATCAACCACTGTTTACTGTTATATATTTCTGATTAATTTTCAAATTTTCTATTTTAAAAACATTCAGTTTTCTCTATAAGTTTTTAAAGTATTTAATTTCTTTCAACAAGGCAATAACTATTGTTCATTTACTTCTTAGATTACTAATTTTGTCAGATTAACATTAAAGCACATATTCATAAAATATTTGACCAATACCAAAGCCATTTGATATAGTGTTATAAAAAATAAACCTACTCTATGTGGTCCACCACATAACATACAAGTACACTGATTTTCCCCACTAAAACAAAATCTACATACCAAAACAATGGTCTACATTAAGACAACAAAACATACTAAACATGAACAATCTCAAAATTCTATTTGTAAAGGTGATCCGGTTATGTTCTGTTTGCTTACACACCGCTTGTATTTTCAATACGGATCGAGCCAACATCTATCATCGTTGACAGCTTTCTTCCAGCGTTCCTTGAATCTCTTCATCTCGACAGATGATTTCATCCTCACTTTTCCTCTGTTATCCACTCCATCAGACTCCGACGAATCCTGTGAAACCTTCTCAAGAAAATAAAAAACAAACAGATGATCAAAACCACGATTCTACTTCAAGAAACATATACAGTAGAACCTCTATAAATTAATACTCGATAAATTAATAATCTCTATAAATTAATAAATTTCACCGGTCCCAATTTGGGCCGGTTCAAAATTTGACACAAATCGATAAAATAATAAGATAATAAATTTTCAGAAATTTCTATATAAATATATGGTCCCATTAAAATTATAAATTAATAATTTCTATACATATTTTATATAAGTAAGAACCTAGCAATATATTATTTGTTTTAAATTTACAATGGAATTATCTTTACATTTTCTTAACACATAATATATTTTAATGAGATTTAGTAATATATATCTAAAATCACATTTAACTTTTATGAAAATATATATATTACATATCAAATAATATAAAAAATTAATATAAATGTGAAATTTTTTAAAAATAATAATTAATGTCTATACATTAAAATCAAATATTTTTCGTATCTTAAAATAAATATATCTTAAAATAAAAAAAAAAATAAGAAAACTTTTGTAAATAAATATCTCTATAAATTAATAAAATTTAAAAGTCCCAACATTATTAATTTATAGAGGTTTTACTGTACAAACACCTGAATAAACTGTAACCAACAATGAGGTGGCCTACTAGGTAAGACTTTTGGATCATTTAATAAAGATTCAAAGGATCACATGTTTGATTTCCGTTAGAAAGAATATGTTTATGATCATTCCAAACTTGACTTGTTCCACATGGTTAAATTTGAGGGGGAGTGTTGAGATGATTTAGAGTATTTTATTTTGAGTTTTGAAATTGTAATAGGTTTTCGTTGCTTGTAACACTTGTTGTAAAACAGTTTTTGATTGAATAAAATTTTACATTCATTCAAGAAAAAAAAAAAAAAAGAAAGAATATGTTTTCGAAAGAAAATTTAATTTATTATGGTTTTGATCTCGCCCTATAGCTAGGACGGTACGAAGCGACTCAAAACCTACTAATTTTTTTTTTAAAGCTCGTACCCCTGATTTCGGATTTGTCTCATTCCGCGCAGAACTTGAGGCGTTTACAACCCCACCGAGTGTGGGAAGGCCGTAATGAACTATGTACTCTGCATCAACAACACCTACATTTTTCTTCCGATCACCCTATATATCCACGACCAAGATTGTGTTAAACAAGAACCGAGAGTAAATGGTTATTATAACCGGTTAAGAAAGCAAACACACACAGAAGTTGGAAAATGAAACTAACTTGAGCACAATAACCAAGCTGCACATCCAAACCCCAAGCATGGATCAAATCGTTCTGCATTGAACACAAATGCATTAACACCCTGAAGTCATACTAGGAGTCTAGGATATGACTATAAGCCAAACGAACCAATCTAAACCCAATATGTTACCTGAATCATATACCAAGAACATCTCCATGCTGACCTAGAGAAAACAGGTGCCATCAATTCTACCCACCTGCATAACCAAGTTACACATTTACTTTTAATAGTAGGTCTTTTATGAAAAAAAAGTGACAAATTTACCACAAATGAGAAAAAGAGTTTCTCCAGAAAATCTCCTGAAGATTGTTAAAGGGCTTTACCCGATACATGGAGGATCGGTGCTATTGACATTGCATGGCAAGCCGCCTTTGAATTTATAAATCCGCCTATGAACTTTTAAGTTCTCCCGACGAGCGGTTATAGGATGATACACCTCTGATTCTGTAGGGTCGAGGCCGGGTTGCGATATCTCAAGACCTTCTTCTTTGACAATAGATAAGTATCTAAAAAAATGATTTCATCATGCAAATGAAAAACAAGAAAGATAAAAAAAAAAAAAAAAAAGATAAACAAAAATTTGAAAAAAACCCCTCAATTTGGTGGACTACCGTTGAGGATTGAAATGACCTACACCAAGATCTTCGTCCCAAAGAAATATATACTCATACTCTGCAACTACATCAGGATGCAAGAATCGTTTGGCAAACCACCTGCCACATTAACATCATTCAATTACTATTTAGAGAAATATATGAATTGCAGGAACTGCAAGAAACTAACCATTTTGTTTGATTCATCACGGAAACATGAATTGCATGTGCACTCCATGGATACTGGTTCCAGTCGTCCAAAACACCATCGTAATGAAAAAGCATGACCACAAAATCTTGAAGAGAAAACTTAATATCCACAGTAATTAGTATCATTCATTTACATAAAAAGGCGAAAAAATCATACTAAGAGAAAAAAAAACAAGACAAAACCTTTTGTATAACTTTGTTGACCAGCTCATTTTGCTTGATTCCAACCGCCATGGCTAACAAACTCATCGAACGTTTTGTATTACCCTGAAAAAGATATCGAGAAAGGAATATCCACGAAAGGTAAGCTACAAAACTAATAAGCTGTGAAATTTTAAGAATCTTAGTCTTACTTCAGTAACATTTTCACTGTCACAGTAGTTCCATAGATGTTGCGTTTCCAAGTTTGATGTTTTGACGATGATTCCTTGCGGTAGTGCTTCACTACCCAATGGTTTATTTATATTCTAATGAAAAGATATTCATAATGAACTTTGGTTTAAAAAAATATCGCAAAGGAAACTCAAAACAAAAATGAATCTCTTCTTCTAAAGCAAACCTGGCATGCACTGGATGTTGCGTTATGCATCTTATCAGTGATTTTCCATCTTAGCAATCTCTGTAAATTAAAATTTATTAAATAAAAATCAGAATAGTTATCTAGTATTGACATTTAAACCATATTTCTTGAACATTGTTCTTTACATGTACGAAAACATATTCAATATTGATTTGTCTTCACAGAACATGTTTGTGGATATAATGTGAAATACAAGAGAGATTAGTACCTCTTTAAATTCTTTGTCGATATAAGCATTACCAATGAAGTAAGTACCACAGATGAGAGCAGTAGTGATTAAGATACTAGAGAGACATGATCTATTCATCGAATCCTCCAATGTTAGAAAGCAATAAGAATTACAGAAAAAATTGAGACTTTCGGGTGTTTTCCCTCAGTACTGTTAAACAATGAAAACCAAGAGAAGCTTCACAAAATCAGAAATGGAAGAAATAAGTAAGAGCAGAAGATGTAAGAGAGATAAGGTAGAAGACACGTTTAAAGCAGATAGATACTCACATGGAAAATTTCGAAGTAGTCTTAATTAGAAACTGATGAAGACTATTTTAGTCGAAAAAGACACGTTGTGTCATGTGTGGGATAGTGGAGCATTTCAAGGGTTTTCAGTTAATGACAAGATTATCTTTCAAAAGTCAGAGTTATGATTCACTTAACTTTATAATCAATCCAATTAAAGCAAGGGCCTCGAAAAACACAATAAACCAAGCGGAACAGTCGGATTACAATCACAATTAATCAATTTATTGAAACTAGACCTGGTTCAAACTAAATATGGATATTGTGCAGGTATTTTGCCCGCATATGCTTGTATAATTTTAGACTTTTTGCAGAATTGACCTGAAACTTAAAGTCAACCACAAAACTAACCTCTTTTTTTTTTAGAATTTTATTTTGTCCAATTCACTCCACAAGTTCATATAATTCACAAAAATGCCATCAATTTGTTTTTTTTTCTCGAAAATGGCATATTTACTCTCTCACCCTCATCATCTTCAAGTAATTACAAGATTGCCATTGTCATCAATACTCCAACAACCATGAACAACCAATTTTGAAGCTCTTAATGCCTCCAAATTCCATTTACCCTTCTTCTTTCTCTATTCTCATGAACTAAACAACACATTAGAACACATATCTCTTACTTTCTCTCCACCATGAACTAATAAAACCCAAGATTTTGATTCTACATTTTTTAGGGTTCATATAGTCAAAGAAATTAAAGATTCAGGGTGGATTACCTTCGTTTGAGATCATGAGTGCTTGATTCTACATTTTCTAGGGTTCATATAGTCAAAGAAAGTGCTCTAACCAATTGAAGGTATGAAATCGAGTTTTTTTTGCGATCTGTTCGTCCAGACGACTGAAATTTCAGTCGTCTGCTTTCGTCCAGTCAACGCAGAAGTTATTTTTGCAATTGACTTTGCAATTTCAAGAGACGACTAAAATTTCAGTCGTCTACTTTATTTTGGCTACAAAAAAAATATCTTAAGAATCTAGACGACTGATATTTCAGTCGTCGTAGGTTAGTTTTGCATTTGACTAGAAAATTTCAGAATTTTGACTTTCTAGGACGACTGAAATTTCAGTCGTCTGCGAAAAAACTGAAATATCAATATTTTATTGGAATGCACGACTTACAATAGGTTAGTTTTGCAATTGTGAAAAAAAACTTTAACTTTCAAGACGACTTAGAATTCAGTCGTCCGCCAGTCGACTTACAATTCAGTCGTCCAGGATTTTATTCCGAGATTCTGGTCAAACCTCGTAAATCCTAGACGACTGAATTGTAAGTCGTCCCAGGGACGACTGAAATTTCAGTCGTCTAGATTTTTTTAAATATTGAAGTTTGTTTGCGCAATTGCAAAACTAACCTACGACGACTGAAATGTAAGTCGTCCAATTTCAATAAAATATTGATATTTCATTTTTTCGCAGACGACTGAAATGTAAGTCGTCCTAAAAAGTCAAACTTCTGAAATATTCTAGTCAAATGCAAAACTAACCTTCGACGACTGAAATTTCAGTCGTCTGGATTTTTTTTATCAAACATACCTAGACGACTGATATTTCAGTCCCAACTAACTGATTTCAAAGTCAATTGCAAAAATAACCTCTGCGTTGACCAGACGACTGAATGTTTAGTCGTCTGCTTCGATCTCTAATAAACTTTCGTTTTCTTTCTTCTATGTTTGCTAATGTGTTTTATTTTTACTATCTCAGATGATGCATCAGTTACGTGCAGTGTATGGAGAATGGTTGTTGGAAGATGGTTGTTGGAATTTTGTGGTTGATCGTTTCAAAGGAGCAAGATTATTTTTATTGAATGAAGATTCAACACATGCTGAACTTGTGGCAATGGCTTAAGAAGATTATAACCTGGACATGAGCACAGTCACTGTGGAGATTAGCTACTCATTACAAGCTCCAGACCTTCCTCTTATTCATGTTACAAGTGATAGACAAGTTTGAAACTTGCTCGAGATAACCAAAACGCAAGAAGTACGTCTTTGTGTATCAAGATTTTGCAAGATGAGAACGGTTTCAGAGGAAAGGGATGAAGCTGAGGATGCAGCTGATGTGGGGGATGAAGAACAGGAGGGGGATGAAGCTGATGTGGGGGATGAAGATCAGGAGGGGGATGTAGCTGAGGATCATGATAGGGAGGAGGATGCTGACATCCCTGTTGTCGCTGAAGATTTTTATGATCCTGAGGATTACAATCAATTTGGAAAGGTTAAAGACGAGGATGAGGAAGAAGATGATGAAATTTGTTTTGAAGATTACGGAGAGGCATATGGCTGTGAGGGAAAATGATCATCTGCAGAAAGAATCTATGTAAACCAGAGTTTTACTAGCAAGGATGCACTGCTTTCAGAGTTGCGGTTGAGCGCGGTGAGGCGCAGGTTCTCCTTCAGAGTTTACAAGTCAACAAAAACTCTCTTTGTGGCAACATGTCGGGTTAGTGGTTGTCAATGGAAGATCAGAGCAAGTGTGAAACATGGGACTAAGAC